AACTACCACTTTTCACCACGTGAACCACCAACTCATTGAAAATGTAATTTTGCCAGGCAAAAAAAAACTACAATATATTTTATTAAGGTGTCATTACAAATAATTTGAAGACATACCTAATAGAAAATGGTAATAGCTGCATATAGGTAACATATTAAGAGCATTATAGACATTACAGCATACACTATGATGTCCTTGCATTCACTCATGCATTCCCGTTTCTGAGGACTAAGGTATAATGTTTTATTTTATTATTCCATTGTCGCGAACTACTCTTCAAACATAATATTCTTAATTAACTATAACAAAAATTATCTATGAAAACACTGCTAGTCGCTAACAGAAACACACGTGGAACAGAAATAAGTATCTACAAGTATGCAGACAACTTGCCAGTCCATAGCCATTATTATTAATATAAGCACCAATGATTAACAATAAAAAAATATTTTATGAATAAAAATTTTAATATAAGTAGGTATATAAGAAATAAAACTAAATATACATCGTTTCAGCAACATTTAATTTCTTTTGTTTTTTGTTCTTTGGACCACGTGCCCTATGTTATACTTACCTATACCTATATGTATATCGCTTGTAAAACATTACACTGCTGAACTTTTCTAAACAATGGCTCAAATTATAACAACGTAGGTACTAACTAACTAATCACTATAAAATATTCGGCTACGTGACACGAACCACATTTTTTCATAATAATTTAACCTTTGGTGAAATAACACGTTTTAAAACTGTCAACCCATAAAGTATTATAATATAATGTTTATTTTACGCTCGTTTTGACTGGCTCTTGCTGGTCGCCATTTGTTATTGAAAGTCATATACATTTGTATATTGTTCATAGACTTACTCATATTAACCAGGTACATTAACTTTAAGTATTTACATATGTTTCTATCATTTGTCACTTATAACTGTATAGAAATGAAATTAAATTTATTTGCTAGAAACATTGTAGAAAAGGTGTTGCATTTGTGAAGTTTATAAGATGTCCATTATGTTGCACCACATCAAATGGCATGCAAATATTAATTATTGAATTTATCCATTGGCCATTTTATACAGGTACATTATATATTTAATTTTCAATTATTTACTAAATTACACAATAAATCACTACTAGTACCAAGTGCACACCTTGGTCATGCATTATAAGCAGTCAATAAAGCTATTATAAATAATAAAATGATAGAAATGTCAAATAAAATTAAAAATACAATTTAAATTTCAAACTAAGTCAATGTCACAGCATTATATTATATTATAGGTATATGTATATATACTCTATATAGATGATATATAATAGATATTCCCCTAAGTCATATAGGTACACTACAGACTATAGTACTGAAATAATCTCTAATATAGGTATATAATCCAATGTCTTAAAAAATCCAAATTCAACGAAATTCTTCAAAGCAGTAACTTTGAAATTTTGTTTGACCCAAGTCTCTCAACACGATTTGTCTATAACAAAAACACAGAAATAATACTGAATCACAACTAATGACCTACAAGAACGAATTCAATCTTAAATAAAAACTTATGTGGAGTATTTTTTATTAGACCGCCAAGAGTCACACGTGCCCTCTGTAAGTTTTTTCAATATTTCTAGAACGAACGTTATTATATATTATTAAATATGTTCCTATTGGTCATATTATAGCAGAAAAAACGTACAATGCTTAGAATGCTATACGACTTAATATTAACCAATATTTTTTAACATTATTATTTATAATTAGACACCTAGCAGTTTACTCAATAATTGCGTATTGAATTCAATTCAATCAATAATTATCGAAATATAATTATCATAATTTAATAAATGAATACAATAAATGAAAATCAATATATTTTATGATAAGTGTATCATGATAGATATGATAGGTAGTGTAAAGTCTGTTCTTCTTTATATAAATGCCATGACAACCATTTCCATCAAAATATATATATATATATGTCGCAAACATATCATGTTTTAATAAATTACTAAATTTATTATTTCAGCCGTTAACTGTCCACTGCTGAACATAAGCCTTCCCTATTAGAGGAGTTTTGCCAATAGTTGCCACGCTTGGCAGGCGGATTGGCAACCGCAGTTAAGATTTTAGAGATGTTTTAAGAGGAATGCTGCTGCCCATCCCTCGCCCTATTAATATTAATGACTAAATGTAATAATGATTATTTCAAAATAACAAACAAACTTATTTTCGCATTTATAATACTTATTAACAGGGATTATGTTTAAAGATACCTACTAAAAAAAGTCGGCTCACACAAAAGAGATGACTGCAATGTAAAATAATAAATCACTATGACTCCGCTGTAAAACTTTTGTCATGTGAATTTCACCATTATGTGAGGTTCGGTAATAAATTAGGAAACTATAGTATAGGTCATCATATTATATCCCATTATAAGGAATATCAATTTCCATCATTTTAAGTTTTTATAGTGTCACTTTATTGTCCATATGTCCTTCCATCAAGACCACCTTTCTCGGGAACACGTGAAGGTATCAAGGTGAAATTAATATCGATACTCAAGTCTGCAATGCCTTAAAACTGTGAAAAATCAAACTTTTAAATAAACGCAATCAAAAGATACAGTCACTTATAGCGTATAATTTAACATTTGCAAAAGAATCAAAACTATAAATCTATAGGGTACTTTCCGTTAAACTAGAATAATGAAATTTATTTATTTAAAAGAGGTAATGTTGTATAGCATAAGTGCTTAAAGGGAAAAATCCGGAAACCGTAAACATGTAGTTGCATTGCAAAAATATTTTTTTTCTATTATTTAATTATTACAATTTGTATGTAACCCTTGGTGCGCGAGTCCGACTTGCACTTGGCCGATTTATGGTCGAATATACAAATAAATGTTTCATCTGATGGCAAAAGACTCTCAATAACCTGAATGTTTAATTTTAAAAAGTAACATAAATATCTCAAAATATTCAATTCTAACCAATTACAAGCTCTGTGTTACAATCGATATAAGTACAATACTCACATGTTACTATTGAAGTGCACAAGTACTCACTATCTGTGATTGTCAGAGAACAAGATGTTACTAACCAGATGGCCGACATGCGGTAGGCCTTCTTCCCTATAAAAACTAGTTTAGTTCGTATTCGTGATTTATATTGCTTTAAAACTTCTATTATCATTTAAACCTTTATAATAATTATATAGTAATGTATTTTCTTATAATTCTAAGCGCTAATTAAATTGTATATATATATATATTTATATATAATGAAATTAAAAAGAATTTTATAATGCTATACTAGCGTAGCATAATAAATTTCTAAATGTTGTTTAGTTACGAGAACTCGTTCTAATAAACAAGGAAACCGATTCTAGTTCGCCGAAGCTAAGTAATTATTCCTGCTCATATTGCTTCCCGAGAGTAATCCGTTAGAAATCGATCGACTTTTAGTGGCGTGTCAGTGTTCAAAAAAGCATAATTTATTGTCAGCATTCAGCATCGCGAGGAAACTTAAACGCGTTAGAAAATAAAAAAGTAATAAAATAAGAGATGTTTACGAGCGTAAAATGACGTGAGGCCACGCCACTTTAGCCGCGCATACAAATTTTACATGCGCCTGCGCACCACTGTTTACAGCGTCCGCGCATAAAGGGGTACTCGTAATTTATTTTCTTTATAGTCGTCGCTTGATAGCTTTGGTTACCTAGTAATTATCGGGCGCGCGCCGAACGCTAAACCAATTTGAGTATTTGTATGCGCCCGCTCAAGTGCGCATTTCATATTGCTTCTGTCAACATTTGTTTTTTGTAAGATTTCAGTTTCTAAGCCTCTACTATTTATAACTTTGTACTCAATAACTTTTAGGTGTAATGAACAAATTAAACATCTTGCTGCTATATTAATGAATGCTCTTACATTACTTTGTAACCTTATATGTTCTATGTCTAGAGATACCATAGATATAAGCAACTCTTCAAATTAAACTGAATTAAGTAACTTTTAATATAAATATTTGAAGTACTTACTTAGTAACCGGACCCATTTACAATATAAATTTCTTACATATCTATATCCTCCCGAATATATATTTCTGAGTTTTTAATTGAAAATTCATTCAATGAATAAATAAATTCAATACCTCCATAAATATTTTAAAATACTCGACTTCGTAATACTGGTGGATATCTGTTCGAATTATGCAACCACAGACTAAGTACATCCAAAAAAATTATTAATACTATTCATACAAGCTTCAAAATTATATTTCTACTTTGCAGTACTATTAGGTGCCTATGTTGATTAGAATGTAAAGTTAAAATAAGTATAGTCTCACACAATGAAACAAGATTTTTAAGATTGTTATACGAGTACCTTCATATTCTCTTATATGAGTACATACTAGCATATAATGTGTCCCATTCTCTCTTTATCTTGCATTCTAAACCTTGTTTTCTAAACCTTAGTAACATCATCATCAAAGCATTACATTGCTAGCAAAATATTACCCTGTCAAATTGTTTCCGGTTCCCCATACAAACCGTCGTAGTTAGACCTAAGGACCTAGTAAATTAATTATGATAGGCCAACTGACCTGACTTTATTCTCGCGTATCCATTCATCGCTTAGCTGTTGCTTTCTTTAATTTTAATTACGTCAGTCATTAGTAGTTACCGGGAGGGAAGAGATTGTTAATAATAGAGACTAGCAATCCCATTGCTAATAACATACCTTGCCAGGTAGACTTTTACGCAGTCCCCATTACTAATTGAATAGCTAACTGACCTGCCTTATCAACCTCATCTATCATTCCTCACTGGTACCCCGCCAGTGTATACTGTTAGCGCAGGCAGGCGGAGTTATCCTTTCATTTTCACCCATTAAAAAAATAAAACAAAATATATTACCTTTCACTCAGTCAGGCCTCTGTATAATATACGATGAAGTGACTAATAATACCGTTTTTCTCATTTTATCTGCAGAGGTGGTGGTTGCATGCGTCGAGCGCACGTCAAGCGGCCTATGAATGCATTTATGGTATTCGCACAGGCGATGCGCAGGCGCCTCTCTGAACAGCGGCCTTCGCTTCACAACGCTGAGCTTAGCAAATCACTAGGCACCATGTGGAAGTAAGTATTTTCTATTATACACTACTAAAGTAAATTCTACTAATAAATGTTAAAGGTTGTAACGATGTTTAGATGTTTGTATATTTCTTACTAAATGGGATAAACGGATTCGAATTACATTTGGTACACGAGTACTTTATGTATATATATGTATGTATATAGTGTGTACAATATAATATAAATAGAATACTTTATGCATCGATCGGATAAAGCCGTGGGAAACAGTTACAGTTAAGTAAGACAACAACTTTTCAATACCAGTACTTTTTAAGTAAAATGAAATGTATAACATTTTAAATGTATATTATGCATATGAAATTGCAAAAACCCACAATAAATCTTAGGTTTTACTATTAAATCTTAAGATTTATCAACATGGGTTGGTAAATGTATGGATTTTATAAAAAAAAATTTGGGGGCTTGCACCAAACCAAACCTAACCTAACTTTCTGACTACGAGTACAAGCATCACACACTAAACATATCTTAACATTATGTCTATTTTTTTACATTTACCACGTCTCTTATGTACATATAGACAATTTTAGATTTACAATAGTTCAGGTTTTACAGTAACAGATAACATTTAGACATGATTAATGCGTGGTATTCGTACTCGATATAAGAAAGTGATACAAAACGCATCACAATTTTTTATCTATTTATAACTAAAGTATGTGCAATAACTCTACTAAATCTCCAAATATATGTATATCCATGTGTATCTTAATAAAGTGGGAGTAATTTGAAATTATGAATCAATTTGTAACAATGTTAAACTAGATTTGTAGCGGTTTTAAGAACCTATCACCGTTGCTCGAGAAGGTCATGAAAGTAAGTTGCGGGGACCGATGAAAGGGTATAATATAGATTGGATCGAAGGGGTAAAGGAAGGGGGGGAGGCACGGTCTGAAGACTGCGCGTGCGGCATCCAGCAGCGCGGCGTGCATCGATTGTTTACTCATTAAAATGCTATCGCCGCTAACTGGAACGATAAAATCTCTAACTGTCTCAAAACCAATTTGAAGTCTACTCGAATAGAAAATTGTGGGATGAAATCGCATGATATCTATATAGATAAATAATCGATGATACAAATAAAATTTTTAGGTCATAATATCTGTCGTGGACGTCGATTAAAAAATATAAAGGTACAATAATTCGCAATTAATTTAACATAAAAAAGTCTTTATTTGTATTATAATTTATTAATTTAAACACTCAAATACACTAATAATTTTAGTATTTTTAAGAAATTTTGTACAAAGATATTAAAGTATTCAGAGCGCATGTATTTCTTGACGATCCTTACGTAACATTTCAAATTATTTTTCTGCCAAGGTCCTTTTATACTATAGTAGTTTTGATACAAAAAAATAAAAAATAAAACAAATATTATGTAATAGATTTTACATTTTTTAAGAGTAACGGATGATATCTTCATGATATCCACTGTTGAACATAGGCTCTCGTACTGGAGGGGTTTGCCAGTAGTTGCCACGTTTGATAAGCGGGTTGACAATCGTAGTTAGGCAAGTTTCCTTAGTCGCCTCTTACGACACTCACGAAAAAGGAAGAGGTGGCCCACTCAATGCCGGGATCACACGATAAATGTTTAATATCATACTAACTACATGACATCTGGCGGGAAAAGGATTGTTAGTAAGGGAGACTGAGAATCCTATTGCTGGCAATATACCCAACGAGGTCGACCTCCTCGCGGTTCTCTCTGGAAACTATCATGGTTAATTCCTGATGAATTCATCATGATGGGCTAACTGGCCTGTTTTCATTCTCATCTATGACCCTTCACTGGTGCTCCACCAGCGTATCCCATTAGCGCAAGCGGGGTTACCATACCATTTTTACCCAGTAAAAAAAAACTACATGACATCCTTATTTATAATATTAATAAGGATATATTAGATATTTATAATAAGTTTACTATTGTTATCTTTTGGAGGAAACAATAAAGAGTATCTATCTATCTATGTAGAGCTTCTTCAGCTGTCTTTAAATTTCCCAGCTCGATGCCCAAAAAATTGTGAGAACACTTGACGGCCACCCGCGCATCCGCTCGTGTTATGATTATGACACAAGAATGACGGACAAACTCTCGAATCATCAAAGAAAATAGTCAGTGAAAAGAGCTTGATTGCTATTACGTGGCCGCTCGCTGTCCGATCATCGACTATCACGGCGCCCTGTCCTATTGTATCTGTTACCGATGCAAGTATGATACCAATGCAAATTCAAGAAACTGATTAAGATAATTTTATGCAATATAGAATTGCAAACAAGCTAACAACCTACATAATAAAAAGTGGTAACCGTCTTCTATAGACATGAACAGCAACCATGGACATTATTGAATACACTGTTAAACCCATAATTCATTATTAATATAATTAATACCTTTAATACGTTATCATTACTAAGCTTATGCTTATTTAAGTGGGCTCATAATGGGTTGTGCCCACCTTAGAATTGTCTTGTGCCCATACCAGAATGGGAAAAGATCCAAAAATTTTGCTTCTAGCCAAATATAAAAGATACAATTATTATTACATCTAAGTAATTAATTTAAATAACATATGGATACTTAAATAAAACTGAACCCGATCGAAAGTGTTACAAAGTTATACAGAATGTATTTAAAGTCGTTACATTTTCGTAAAACTATCAATCTAACCGTCGCCTATAGAAATAAGCAGTACCATGGACATAACAGAGTATACTGTTTCGCCCATGATACCCCCCATGCGTTGCCATTCCTGAGGACTCAGATGTTATTCCTCTGTACCCTGTAAATTCACGCCATATCCCACCCTTGAAACCGAAACACAGCCATGCAAACAACTGCTTCACGATAGAAACACGAATGGGACAGAGGTACCCAAGCAATCGACTTTATCTATATATACAGATATATGTATATATATATATATATATATATATATATATATATATATATATATATATATATATATATATATATATATATGATATTGGCATATAAACAGAGTCCAGTTGTGAGCCGTTAATTGGTATTTATATATTTATGGTATGGTGACAACATTTGTTGACACAGATCATAATCGCGTATAAATTATCTAAAAGAGGACTAATTTTATCTATGAGTAAGATCCAACCAGACGTCTGCGTTTACGGTCAATGCTCGTCTCTCGTAAATGTTTCTATTTTTCTCAAACATATTTTAAAAGTGGCTATAATAAATTATGGCAGCAGTGCTATCGTTCATGTTTATATTTATATGGTTATACACAAGATATATCATTACATATCTATAGGTATACATAAATACACACAATACAGACTTACTCGTAGATACTAACTAGAGAACTGACAAAGTCCCTAAAATTTTGTGTTTGACAATATAAATTTTTAACTAACGTTCTGATAATGATCCTTGAGGTTTTGATCCTTTAGGTATAGACGAATAATATATAAGCAATTACAGGGTAAAATCAATTATTAGCGTCCTTTTAAGTAAGTGTTGTACTAGTAAAATTAACACTTTCCAAAGAAACATGAATGAAGATAAAACAAAAAATTTCAACACTTATACAAACACGCATGTCCAATAATCAAGTTAGTGTTTTTGATAATATTATTATAATTTTATAAATAAAATTAGGTATGTATAAATTATCCCAAAAATAAATATATAAATATTTAATTCGGGATGAATTTAGTAAGTCTTGGCGTTTTAGCAAATACCGGCGGCATCTGGAAATAGTATCGCGCGTCGATGCTATCGTACACTCTTCGTCTCAGACGAAACGTCCTACTAATATTCTATTTCCACTTAATTTGTTATTGGTTTATTATAATTGTAATTTATGTAAATTAATTTAAAATGGTCCGAGAGTACATGATATGTGACGTCAAACTAGCAGCCAAATTCTCACTATTTCGTGAGTTTGCCACTTCTGCCTTTTTAGTCCATACTAGGAATAGCAAACAAATGACCCAGCTGATAGAAATTATAGTGCCTATAACCGTCCTATAAATAAACACAAGAATACCATACTTACGATCTAATTTCGCGATGTCTTTGACCCCTCATACGTCACCACTCGTGAGGACTCCTGAGGATCTTGTGTTCTTTTATTTTTTATTTTTATGCAGCTTAGAATAGCTGCTAGCTAGTCCACTTCATCGAAAGTGGTAACCTTCACCTATAGAGATGAATAGTACCAATTCTAATTCCACTAGACATGAGGATGTTTAATATTATAATTATTGGTAAAGTAACAATGTCTTTTTACTTTCAGGAGTCTATCAGAAGAACAGAAGTTGCCGTTCATCAAAGAAGCAGACAAGCTCCGTACCCAACATAAAAGAGAGCATCCCGATTACAAATACCAGCCGAGACGACGAAAGGCCCCACCGACTTCCAGCACACGACTCAAACGAGAACCATCTCCTGACAGAGATCAAATCGATTTTGCTGGATTGCAGGACATTTCGCCGGCACTACTGCCGGACGGCCCACCTGACGGAGCTGAATTAGATCAATATTTGAAACCAGGTCCGGTGCCTGACTATCACGAGTTACAACCCAGATTTGCAAGTCATAGCCTTGCACACCACCCACCACCGCTCTATGTGCCATCCCATCTCCATCCACCATGCACCGACTGGCCACACTATACCGGCCACCCCTAAAACCATACATTGTATTAAATGTACTAGAATTGTTCATAGTTAACGTTGTCCGTGGTTAGATAAAATTCATCGGAACTTTATCGCCATATGACTTTTTTTATGCTAAAATAGGTCAGATGACTGTCATGTAAATAAATAATTTTATATCGCTATGATGGTATAAGAACGGCAAAGCGCACGTGCGTTTAATCACAAACAAACATAAATGTGCAAACATATGTAATTATAGGAATATTCCTTTAAATTATTCTTAATAATTGAAAGAAATATTATTATTAGTTAATAGTGTTTTCTATGAATCTCTAGGCGAACCATATGATTCCAAAATCCATTCTAGAACTGACTAAACATTAGGGATAATATTTGTTTCATAACAGGAAATAATATGCTGGTATAAAAATTAACTCCGGATGTTTCATTTTCGGAGGTAAAATTAAGTATAGATAATATTTCAATAATATCTCAAATATTTAACCAACATTTTGTTGTATCTTAAATAAATAGATATGTTACCTTTTATTGCAATATAGATACGCCGCGAGATTTTTTGATGGTATATTTTCAAAGACTTTTCCACGATTTACTATATATATCTCTCAACAGTTTGTAGAATAAAAAACATGCATAGTTTTAAGTTTTACGTACATAAAAATACTCGTTCTACGTATTTGTATTGGACTTTGTGAGGTGACGTAATATGAATCTGAAACTAAAATATATATCCAAATACTACTAGATATAACATATTTTAAAAAAATGATCAGCCTACTGTTGATTTGGCTGTTGCGAAATTGTTGAATTAGCTGTTTTATTAATAAAGAATGTATTATTAATAATTCAAGATTTTCAGGGGACGCGTAATTTTAAAGACGCGCCATTTTTTAAAGTTAAATAATATTTAAAATATTCTGGTATTTCTGTTTAATTTATAATAATATACATTGAATAGAAATGCCAGACACACAAGAATAAAAAAGTGGAGCTCGTTTTAGTATCCCTGTTTATATCAAATCTATATACGAGTACCATTTATTGTACATTCAGGAATTTATTATACATTCAGGAATAGCTTAAATCTAGGTATGGTCTAATCAAATACAAATTCATCAACATAAGATATAAAAAGTTAACGAGGGTTTGTTGAGAGGTACAGAAATACTAAGTTTATAATAATAATTTTAGCCTATACTATCACTTAATCGATATGAGAGTCAATTAAAAATGGACGAGGTACTAAAATTTTGTCGATAAACAAAAATATCTTAAATTTATTACTATACACTAAAATTGTTTTTAAAATTCCTCATGTTCCAAAGTTAATTAAGAGTAGAACATTATAAAGGTAAATAGCTACATAAGATAGGTATAACAAATAAGTTATTATTGTGATTAATTATTCATAAGTTTTAACATTATTTAAAGATGTTTTATATAAGAACATTTAGTTTGTATTAAGTTGTAAATAGAAATTAATGTTATATTAAATACTATCGAATAAACACATTGTTGATATTACGCTGTCTTTTTTTTTGTAATATAACAAATTTAGATGTCTAAATATTCTGTTTCTCAATTATTGTTATTTAGTTTATATCTGTTAAGGATTTAAATGAATATATATTAATTCTAAATGAAATAGGTGTAGGTAAAATAAGCTACATATTTTTTAAGGAATATTAAAAACAGAAAACAAGCAGACGACTCATATGAAGAAAAATGGTAACCATCATTTATGCATATTACATAATATAGAGTAACACCCTCATGCATTGCTATTCTTAAAAACTAAGGTGTAATGCTTCCGATCCTTCAAACCGAAACTCACTGCAGGTAGGAACAACTAAGTACTAGAATGCTTTAGATATAATAAATCACAATCGCCATATGGTCCCGGCATAGTATGAACTACCCCTTCCTTTCCTGTAGGTATCGTAAAAGGCGACTAAAAGAAGTAAATTATCAAGGGATCGACTAAATTATCAAGCAGCGTCCCTCTTAAAATATTACCAAACCCTAACTACGGTTGCCAACCCGTCTACCAAGCGTGGCAGCTACTGGCAAAACGCCCCTTTTTGGGGAGCATGCCTATGTTCAGTATGCCTATAGACAGTTAATGGCTAATATGATGATGATAATGAAACCCTAATCGGCAAAAACAGTAAATTTAGTAACAGTAAATTAATAATATATCCTTTTGTGACTGTAAACGACTTTGGCAATATAGCAGTAACTACCTTCCGATGGTTACCGTTTTGATTCTTGGACAATATTTATATTTTATTACAAAAAAGTAACTATCAGTCATCTAATACACTAATACTACAAGCTTTACTTAGTCTGAGAATAGATGACGTTGTAATCTTCAATGAGTATGGTATTTGTTTATTAGTGTTAATATGAATAAGCATTAACAATTTGGTTCAAAATGATTTTAAAAACAGAATATCGAATATAATATTCGTAGAAACTTAGATAGGTATTACGTGTATAGGCATGAACTTACAAAACGATTAAAATGACTCCGCAAGTTGTTGTCATTAAATGTAGGCATATAATTAGCACGCTCAAGCGACATTCTCGGAAAACATCCTCTGTTTTAGGTAGGTGCCCTCACCGCATGACATACCGCGACCTCTACTCGTCCGGCGATTTCCGCCGGTCGCACCGCCCGCCCGGCTCACAATGCACACTTGTTCTACCCTTATCTTATCGCATTTTCTCAATTAACGAGCTTAATGTACATATATATCATCAGATAATTACGTAATCATAAATAATTGTAACTAATGAATGAAAAGAACTGTTAACAAATTATTTACTTTACGATTAATACTTTAATAGGTATAAGTAAAATTTTTGTAACTTGAAAGTGAAACAATGCTAAAAGTACCTACTGTCCTTGTCATTTTGTGAAATTTCTTATTTTTCTAAATCGAGTTTTAACTAAATGGACGCATTAACAAATTTCCCAACTTGAAACTTCTCTAGAAACAGAAACAAGTTCAAAAAGTCACGATTATTATATATTAATGATGCATATTGAGCTGCAATATTAAGATTGAGTGCAAATGAGCCGCGAGGCGCGTGCGCAGGCGGCAGCTCGCGTTACACAAGCTGCGCACGCCCCGACTGCGGTCCCTTCGACAGCTAAGAACATAATATTCACATTGACTGCCATACTTTTTGTAAAACACATAAGATATTAATTACAGAGGCGGTGTGGGTATCATGCTCAATTTTACGCCGTAATCTCTCATGTTTTTGCTGGTATTTAAACGTCAACAGATCAATCTAATGATCTAAAATAAATTTTTGTGGAACCATATTTAGATACTAGTAAGTAGGTATATGTATAATTATGTATCATCTTCATCACTATCTCAGACATTATCAGTCCATTGCTCCTCCTCCTCCAACATAGACCTCCCCTATAGACTGCAATAAAGAACTTTCCTGAGCCACCTGCATCCACTAACTCACTTAATTATTCCAAGATTGTCATCAATATGATTTATAGTATTATATATTATAGAATAAAAGATAATTATTATTAAGTTTGTTTCGTCATCATGCAAAAATTTCTGCACTAAATTGAATGAGGTTCTCACAGTAATGTTCCTGAAAGACTTAGTTAATATCTCGAGTAAGTATATATATAGAGGCCTGTAAAGGCCAACAAAGGCCTGTAATACCAGAACTATTACGCACGCGTTACCGACCCTGAAGAAAGCTCTTTTCATAGGGGAAAGGGATTGTTAGAATTCAGGTTAAGTGGCCCATTGCTAGTAATACATCCTATCAGGTCGACCTCCACGCGGTTCCCCTTGGAAACAATCGTTGTTAATTCTAGCGTAATTCGTGGGCCACGATGGGCTAATTGACATACTTTCATCTATCATCCCTCACTGGTGTTCCGCCAGTGTATACCGATAGCACAGGCGGAGCTACTATTCCATTATCACCTTTTAAAAAACCTCTTTACCCCTCTTTTGAAGAACCCCATGCTGTAGTCTCTTAGAAAATTTTTATTATTGTTTATTAGTTTTTATTATTACTTTATTAGTGTTCCTACTTCTGAAACCACACATATGAAATATAAGACAAAATGTTATGCCTAACAGAGAACCAACGAATATTTATCTGCCTATTCGGATTTAGATTCCCGAAGCTTAGCCCTTGTATTTATTATGAATGTTCGCTTTATGTAACATGTTTACACCGATTTAGTGATAAGTAATGATAATATCCTTAACATTAGGTAGGTATACAGCAAAATACCATGGTTCTTCAACAGTCTTAGTCAAGTGGCATCACGACCGACAGTTCGTGTGAAATATCGCCTCCACGCCGAACTGCCTGCTCACACATAAGCCTGTAAGTTGACACCGCCACGTCTGGGGTATATCGTTAAGAAATCAAACCCAGCATTCGAGTAACATATGCGCAATGCAGCAGCCACTTTTTAATTTGTGCTATTTGAAGTATATTGACCTCTATGTGTCGAATTATAATTGTAATGCATAATCTTAATAGCTGTACCTATCTAGACTAAATATGTAATAACCAATTTAAAGACTGTAACTTACCTTAGTCTTACCACAAAAAAGTTTAACTTGCGATAGTTACATTTTCAATACTAGATGTCTTACTACAAAAGTGTGCCTAACATCTGTTTATGTCTAAACAAAAGAAAGTCTATGTTATTTGTATTAACGTTATAAAAAGGAAGGATTTGATTATTTTGCTTGTAATGGATAATTTGGGATAAACCCAAAAACTACTTAACTAATTTTAATTTTTTTTTTTACCTATAAATAGCTACAAAAACTACATTATCAGCAAGTAACATAGGCTATAAAGTATTTTCAAAAAATTAAAGATTGTTACAAAAATTTCAATAATATAATCCAAGTATAAAAAAAACTTACCTATGAATGCTATTATTTGGCGTGCACTGAGTAAACTATAATGATACATAAAATAATATACTATATGTTTATGATACTCTCCATTTCCCACAAAAAAGTCTGCAAGAGCATATTCCTTTTTAAAAGGCCGGCAGCACACCTGCAATGCCGTAGGTGTTGTGGGTGACCATGGGCGGCGGTAGTCACTTACCATCAGGTGAGCCGCATGCTCGTTTGCCGCCAGTGTTGTAAATAAAAAAAAAAGACTATTGTTAACTTACTATTACAGTTAATTCACAATATTCGTCTTCTGGTCAAATTTTAAGTACGTTATACTAAATTATCATTATCATCAACATATCAGCTTTTGACTGTCCACTGCTAAACATAAGCCTCCCCCTAGGGGGGTTTTGCCATTAGTTAGTAGTTAGTAGTGGTAGATAGATAGATACTCTTTATTGTTTTCTCCAAAAGATTACAACAGTAAACTTATTCTAGATATAAACAATTACAAGAAATAATCATAATGAGAAAACAATGGGCGACCTTATCACTAAAAGCGATCTCTTCCAGCTTTGGATGGAAAGGAGTAATTATAAACTGTTTGATTAGAGGTACGATGAAGTTCCTATTATTTCTAAATATGGAGATATAATACATGTAATAATGTAAATATATATCCCTACTCACTATTATATACATATATATACATACACATACATACAATATATATATATATATATATATTGTATGTATGTGTATGTATATATATACACACATACGCATACACATACACACACACATGCATATAAACACCTACACAAATAAATAAGTATATAAATACTACCACATGTATACGTAAAAAACAAAGTTATAAATTTTTATATATCTGAAGAAATAAGTATGCTAACCCGACAAATAAACAAATTAAAAGGATGACAACTTACTCAAATAAAAATCCGTAAGTTTTGTTTTAAAACTAGGCAGACAATTTATGTTTCGAATAGAAACTGGTAAACTATTCCACAGCCGTACAGCTTGCACCGTGAACGATACCACCCACGGGAAAGGAAGAGGTGGTCTATTCTATGCCAGGACCACACGGGACGGGACCAGTGAATCAAAATACGGGTAGAATCAAAAGATAATGGCATTCGTGTCATGATATTAATACTTAGCCAACTAAAGAGTTTCATAATAAAAAAATTTACATGTATGCTATTTGATTTCCTTTTTAAATTATTCGACTCATTTAAAAAATGTTTAGTATTTGAAACTAAAAAAGCCCATAGACGTAATATAAATGCTCTGCCTTTATCCTACAGCAAAAATTGTGTCCTTAATTCTCTAGTGACTGTTTACGGATTCCTTTATTTGCTTTTTTAATATAAATTAACGACATTACAATGAATTTAATTATTTCGTCATAGTCGCAGAATACTGACGGATCTTTATATGTAATCTTTGTCAGATCCGTCAGTATTCTACGACTATGACGATTTCATTCTTGGATTATATTCCTAGTATAAAAGCATTATTTAATATTATTATACTACATTCATATTTTTAAATAGTAACACTATTGTAATTGTCAACTTCAATGTTGCCAATTTTATCCTTTTAAAACTTATTTAGCTTTTTTGCATCTGCTGCTTCTACTAATCGCTAAAATTATGCATTAGTAGTTATAAAAAACAGGTCAGTAGGATTGTAACCATGTCGAGCCAAGCGTTCGAATAGCGACGCCAATTTTTTAAAATGGTTTCCTGTACATTGAACTTTTAATCTATGTAAATGTTAAATATTAGTAAAATAACACTATATAATTAATAAATTTTCTTTCTATGAAATACATTGCAAGTTTAAGATAAAAAGTGCATCATTTGAAATTTTACTTTTATTTTTTCATTTTTCATTTTTTTCATTTTTCAAATATAAATAAATCATTTAAATAGCATACTTTTTAACATAAATTATTTATAAAAACTGTACTAACGTATGAGTGGAATTCAGCAGTTTATTTTATACCTTAGATGCTGGCCACGTCTGTGACATCTTTCTTTAATAAAATTATACCAATAATTCAGTCAAAATACATATTGACTAAATTTCACTATATATAGATTCAATATAATCAATTCATTTCATATAATCAAATCATTACACTCAATTCTTCATCTCAATTTACATAAACAATACCACTGTATCTAACATTCATATCACATAAGCACTTTATTTGTTTAGTACGAATTACTAACCAGCAAAATCATTGGAATACAAAAATTATTATATTACTAATTTAGAAGACGAATTATAAAATTGTTAATTACGAAATAACGAAGTCATTGGATTCAAACCCTGCTACAACAGCATTTAAGCGGAGCGTTAAGAAATGCATTTGCAGGTTTTTAAGATAACAATTACCAACACATCATAAATTACTACTCTCATATTTGGGCCAAATTATCTACTTACAATCAGATGAGGTATGGTCGTAGTCGCATTGACTAACCTCTATAAAAATAAATAGATTTAGCTTGAAAAAATAATACCGATTTGGCAACACTGATCATGTAGAAAAAATCATCTGACTGACTTTGACTGATTGTCTGACTGATTGTGAATTTGTGATTTTGATTTTGTAGAAAATGTTATCATCACGGTCGTAGTAAATATAGTGTAGTTTCTGTCTTTATTTTGATATGTATAGTTAGTTTGTGGAGATGATAATTTGGCAGTAATTAGGATTACAGACAGTATTAATGGCCAAATTACCGAATGGCTGGGTTCAGCTGGTGAGTGCACGAAGTTATTAGATATTTCACAACCACCTACCAATTTGAGATACGAATTATGGTTGGTGATTTGTTTATGTACATATATTGTCTTCCTTGAACTCTTTAATTGGATGAAATTGTCCAATTGAGTGAACCACGTCTAAAATATCATACTTTAATATTCAGTTTAACATAGTTTTAATATTACTATTACATTTAAAGGCGGTATTGCGAAATCTGTGTTGTCAACTGTTTACAATTTTGAAAACATAAACCTAAATACCATCGTTTAGTTACAAATGAACACTGAAACATATTTTAGAACAGTCTTTAATTCTAAACCCAAATTATGTCTTATTTATACTTGCTTGTCAGTTTGAATTTTATGATTAGAATAATATTCAATATAATTTCAATGACTAGCTGATTAACTTAATCATTTACTCGTTATTTATTATATTACTATCTCTACCCTGTAGTTTTCCATATTTATTTTCATAATATTTATTATTTTATATAATATAAAACAAAATATTCTAATTTATACAATTAACATATTTACAAATTGTTAATTTATTGTATGGAAATTATATCGTCATTATATTTTGTTATAGATTTCCTATTCCTACATAATTTTTACTTATTTTTTCATCTTTCTATATTTCAATGACAGGTCCCTTATGTGGTGGGTAGATAGAATTTCAGTCTCAGTTCCAGAATTGTCAATTCTATAATAAAGACTGGATAAAAAATTTTTAGAAAATTTATAACATGATCATTACTATAGTGTATTCAGATGCTAATAATAAAAAATAATTGGTAAAACTTCTTTTTATTGCTAAACCACTGATATAAGGAAGTGCCTTTATGACACATAAATAACTATATAAACCCTATGACTCACTTGTTTGTGAGTTTATGAGTAAAACTTATGAATATGTAATGGTAACTTGTGTATTCTAGGTACCTTTCTGAGGGCTTTCAAGTGATAATAGAGAAGTCAAAAGATGCGAAATGCAGCCTGAAAGATGTACAGTTGCGTTTCTTGTGCCCTGATGACTTGGAGGAGGTAATAAAAATATTTTAGATAGTATTTATATTTTGTATATATAATCTATACATTTAGTGACACAGTAAGAATATCATTATCACTATTCTTTATCTCTATGTCATCATAAGAAATGGACTAATAAACAAACACACTTTACCTATTCCTTTGCAATAGAACTTGAAATTAAACTATACCAAGACACCTGGCTATCAAGCGAATAGTAAACTATAACCTATCTTAAAGAGAAAGACTCATATCCAACAGTAGAACACTAATTCATTGTTAATAAAATATAATATTATTAAAGACTAAAAATCTATTATTACTTTACACATTTGATATAATGTATATTAGGATAAACTTTTGACATGAAATTTAAAAACTACAAAATTTGTCAAAATGTTTAATAAACATGAAATTGAAATATAACTTATACTTCAAATCCATATCAATATTATAGTAAAATCATCTATATTGAGCTAGTAAGAGTATATTTTAAAAAACTTGTAATTTGAATAAAGATTTTTTTAATTTAATTTAATAGTATTACTTGAATTTTAGGTGAGGTCCTTATGTAGAGACTGGTTCCCAATAGAATATCCTCAATCATGGTATGAGGATATCACATCATCAGAGAGATTCTTCGCTCTTGCTGCAGTATACAAGTCTCAGATCATTGGTCTAATAGTCGCTGAGATTAAACCATACTTAAAATTAAATGCTGAGGACAGAGGAATATTGTCAAGATGGTTTGCATCGAAGGATACACTTGTAGCATACATACTCTCTCTAGGTAATTATGCTAATCAAGTCATAAGTCAATTAAATACTTCCAGTCCCATGACTGTATTACCTCTAAAGTTCTGTCTGTATGAAGTTTTTTAATTGTATTTATTTCCAACTAAATTATTTAATCAATATATCTATAAAAGCATTTAACAACTAAAAAATAATAATATACCCAACTATTCAAATTAAAATGTTATTTGTATCTATGTGGGCAACAGATATTATTAAAGATGTGTATTTTGATATCTAAGATAATAACTGCCTACTATCTAAATTATATCTTTAAAAAAAAGTTCTTTTTGTTTGTAAATTGTCACAATATTGTACACCAGTCTACCTGTTGACATGCTCCTTTCGACTTTGGTTTTGGTGGAAGACACTTGCTTACTTCTGTAATTTTTTTTTCTGTGTTATTAGTGTGTACAATAAAGTATAAATAACTAAAATACTTAATATATAGAAATAATATTATTAATGTGAAAGTTACTCAGTTTGTCTGTTACCTTTTTTATTATTACTAACTTAAGTAAATCTCTTAACTAAATCCAAACCCAACCAATTAAAGATAAAATATTTATAAATCTAAACTTTAAATTGAATCTTTCACATTTTATCTGAAAAATAATGTAACTAATAAATGTGAAAGTTTGTAAAGATGTTTGAATATTTGTATATTTACTACTCTAAGGCGTTTAAATTGCTAAAGACATTTAAATGAAATTTGGTACGAACATAGGTAATATCCTAACTTAATATGTAAGATATTTTTTTTGCTAATTCATAGGGAAAAAAATGCCTAAAATAGCTAGTATTGTAGAAATTATAATTTAGATAAAACCATCAATAAAGCTATTTAAACAATTTATTTGTTTTGTTCTAATTACATATTTATCTCTATGTCAATACTGTACCACTTTCTATTTAGATGTTTTGTTCTTTGTACAGGTGTGGTCCGTTCTTATCGGCGCTCCGGCGTAGCGACCATGCTATTAGATGTGCTGATCAATCACCTGTCAGGGCCAGTGGCGCAGCCCCCCCATGAGCACAGAGTTAAGGCAATATTCCTACATGTACTCACCACCAACTCGGAAGCCATATTTTTCTATGAGAAAAGAAGGTTAGTTTCAATAATTTTATTTTACTATTTTACCATATTCTGCAGTGTATAATCATTGTCTATATTACTTGTTTACAAAATAAGATACCATAGTACTTAGGAATTGGAGCACATGGGAACACCATGTACAATGCAGTATTTTCTGCAATATCTGTAGTGCTAATTATCTGTATAGGCGACTGTTACCATTTAACAGTTCCATCAGTGACAGTTTGTTTGTCTTTCTTGGTACAAAAGGTAATATAATACAATGTGTTTTCATTCCCACATTGTTGTAAGGAAACTAAGAATTAGAGTAATACACCAATACAAGAAAAGTAATACTCTATACTAAGGTAAGAGCAACCTATATGCTCTTATAGAGAATAGTTTGTATGATGTTACAATGAATATGTATTTGTAACATTATCATTAATATTTAAGCCTCCCATACAAATTTGATATCTCGGTGTACTGTAGTAGTATGGGAAAATAAAGATTTTTTGAAGTTTTTTACCTATATTCCTTTGGGAAATATAATCAGTTACACTAGTGTATAGTACAGGCCACATATTTATAGCTGTCTATTATTATTTACCAAATTCGAAATTGACATGCATATCTATTGTTTCCTTTTCACTTGCTTTCACAGCCCTAGTCGTCTATGTTCCTTTTTGGCCATTATATATGATGATGAAATAATTTATTTTTATAGTGAAATATATATGTAAAGATTTGGTTTATCTTCATTTATGATATCAAATACTTTATCACCTGTAAAATTATCAAATTAAATCTATACCATACTTTAATTGAAAAAATATAAATCTATATAATTTTTGGTAAATAACTGTAAACAGTTTTTGGATAAATTTGTAATATCATATCTAGTATTTACACTTTAAAGATAAAGTAAATTTATTTGCAAACGTATGTATAGTAGGTTCATAGACATAGTGGCTATTCATTGATATATTTGTATAGGTCTAACATGTTTTGCTAACATTAGCATGCTAAATGTTCTTTGAAGGGCAGTGGCATTTAGTTTAAGTGCCTTACAAATTTAGATTTAGGTACATTTTTGTGCTAGGATACGCGCTAAGTAAATAATTAAAATATTACCAAAATCAAGAAAATATTGTAATAAAATCATAACATCAAACAAAATTGTAATGTTAATAGTAAATGTCAGACTAGCATAACGAGGATTCTGTATACAATAATCAGGATTAAAATGGTATAATGGTAATGTCATGTAGTCATAAATGGAACATAAACGACCTTATCTTTTGATTGCGTCCATTTAAAAGCTTGATTTTTTTCTCTGCCTTAAGAGATTGCAAACCTGAGTATATGATATTAATTTCAGTGAGTATATGATATTACATTCCTAAGAAAAAAGGTTTTGACAGACGGACGGATGGACAAAGAAGTATTCCTATAAGGGTTCCGTTTTTTCCTTTGGAACTAGGCACGGAACCATAAAAAATAATAAAACATTTTCTATTTTTAGATTCCGACTGCACTCATTTCTACCATACTACTATTCTATAAAGGGGCGCTGTAAAGACGGTTTCACATACGTTTACTACGTGAACGGCGGACATGCCCCATGGGGACTGTACGACTACGTGAAGTACGTGGCACGAGCTGCGTGGCGCGGCGGCGGACTGTACCCGTGGCTGTGGGGCAAGCTACGCACCGCACTCACCATAGCCTGGCACAGGTAGTGCATACACGCCTTTATGTTTAAGCGGGTACACATTAACCACTAACAACTAGTCTTATGTTCTAGCTACAGATATTTCTGATTGGTTCTATGTAATTTTGGCTTTACTGTTACCTGTACATAATATCTATACTTTTTGTTTATGATAAGTCTGCCTAAGCTCCACTAGTATCAAGTTTTTTATTTCTTTATCTTTTGACTGATTCATCATTCATTCCATATGCCGAAACCGACTTACCATTTTTTTTTAAGTTTTTTTACAGTAACTTTCAAATCAATTTATTATCATATGTTATGTTTATTCCGCATATTTTTTCCGGAAGCATTTCAATCATGTTTATTCTATTTCCATGTCTATTTCTTTTGTACCCAAGTGTCACTTCCTATTCAACAATTCATGAATGATATGGACATAAAAACTAATGCTTAGAAATAAAAAAAAATATTCATTTTGTTAGTATAACATTAGCTATAGCCTATTTATTTCTCAGTATTATAAAAAGAAAGGATTAAAAACACCAATGCTGACATAATTCATTTTTGTATATTATGTATAAATTCAATTTTAAATTCACAATTTTGTACTTTAATTTTATTAAAGAATCATATTTGTATAGTCGTGAAGACTACGCAAACATGATTCTTTAATCATGAAGTGTTGTAAAATTTTAATTATACTGAAAACTATTTTCTCTTCACTAACCCGCAGTTTATAGAATATAACAAATTTAATTCAAATTTGTACTGATAAAATTATCAATGACAAAAAGAAAATGTAAAAAAGTAACTTTTACAGAGCAATCACATGTTTGTAGTGTAAATAGAGAATGTGTGCCCGTATTTAGGTATATCGTTTACTTTCAATGATAGTGTGTGGGTAGTCTCAATCAGTGTTGACAGATTAAATTCGAGTGATGAGTGGCTTCATTAAATTATTTTCATTTATAATTTGTATCTCGACAGAAGTACTTCTAAGAAAAAAGTCATGCTGAGATACAAAGATATTTAGAATAAACCCAACAAGTGACTACAATAACTCATATGCATAAGGACCGGTGCGCAGAGGTGGTGGCGAATGCCCCGCGACCTAATATTCAGTTGCTGTGTCAGTTTCACCGCTGTCAACAAGCCGAAGTAGCTTCGTCACGACTAATCACCCCGTCGACGCGTCGACACCACCGCTGCCCTGACGCTATGCGATGTCACCTGTTTACAATGCTGAAGGAACTAAAAAATACTTAAATCACAGATACGGTTATAAATAGATGCAACTGGATGTACTTTGCATGACAGTTTAACATTGAATTTGATTATCTACATTAACCTGGCAAAATTTTAATTCGCGAACATAGGAGAATTGAAAAAAAACTATTTTCGGAATAATTTAATACGGATAAGGTTTACTATGTTTTTAATTTTAATAGTATATAAATTTTTCATTTAAATTCAGGTACATGCTGCGTATACATCTATGTCTGTGATATAAATTGTTACAGAGGATCGCCCATCCTAGACTAAGAAAAGATCTCGGGATAAAAAGTACAAATATAAAAAAGTTTCATAAAACAACATGTCCACCATCGTGTATCTAAAACCGTGATATTAGATAATATTAATCGCTGTCGCTTTCTTGCTTAAATATCTAACACTACAAAAATAGTATTGTATGCTTAGCGCTTACAGAAATCATCTGAAATACCAATTTCTTTTTCCTAATATATACTTGTACAGGTAATGGGCATCCTCTTCAGCAGTAACATACAAAAAAATTAAGAGTAATTTTTAAACAAAGTAATCCCTAATGTTAGTTATAAATATTTAAATTGTCAACCTGGCTTGCTATATCCACATCCAATTTTTATGGTGCCACTCTGGTGTGATGCAAGTTTTTTCATATAACAACACTAATGAGGCTAACAAAATTATTAATATTAAGTTACTCAGTATGTAAATGTATATAGTTCTAGATATTTCTTGTAACTCACAATGATTTTTTTCTTTTTTGTAACTAATGTGTCACTATAAATTGCATTTGAACATATTTTAGATATTATTTATAGATATTAAATTTTTTTCACTATTTACTGCATTTTCAGAAATTCCCACAAAACTTAGAGGTGCAGTTTATAAGCAGTGATTTACACGAGAGAATTTTAAAGAATATCACTACATTAATTGATTTGTGTATTTGCACCACAAATTATGTATTATAACTATAATTGACATTTTGACACGAAGCCATGTTGTCACAATAAGAGGCACATGTACAACAAACAAACCACAAAAATTATAATACTCGTTTTTTTGTCCTTACTTATATATTTTGTTTTTTAAGCCTTTTTCTATATCCTATTCAATAAAAATGCTAAGTAACAATAATGGCGTCTTTTAGCCCATGTTTATACGACATTGGCAGTTGTAACATTTGTGTACTTATATTTATGTATCTTATTATGTCAATTTGGCTTTTAAGGGATAACTGACAAAAATATTTGTGATAATTTTTAGTACTCAAAGCTTTAAATTAAAATACATACCTATTGTACTTTTTCATGATTATACGATATCGAGACACTTGAGCAGTCGCGAGAAGAACAAATAATGGCATTTGATTAAAATGTTCGTTTCACTACATACTGATGGCAGTGTGTGTGCAGCAAGAATTATTATGAACATTGTTTGTGCCATGGTTACTGCCAACATATTAAAATAAGGTGCCTGAGTGTTCACTATAAGTTGTAATATTGTGCATTAACTTTGTTATAAAAAAGATAAACATAAAGAGTCACATTATTTTAATTTATAACATTAATATAAACATATGATTTAATTTCATTGTCCCCTAACTTGTAACACTTGAATATGTAACTGTATATACATTAAATTATTTAAATAAACCCGATGTCCGTAGTCGTGTTGATGTTACTCTTTGTAAACCAAAGTTAATGTGTTTTCTTCATTATGTTATGATTTATTTAAGTATTACTTATATTGTTAAGTGTTTTATTACAATGAGTATTATTTTTGGACCATTATTTTAAATTAATATTCCAGTGTTTTGTATTATTTTTTTTTTTAATTTGTGATACTATCAAGGACAAGTCAAAATTATTTCATTTGTACCTATGTAAAATTGATATTTATTTGTATGTAACAATTTAATTACACGATGACATTTCTTGACTTGTAATTTTAAAATAGCACTTTAATGTTGATTGAATTTATTTTTTTTATATTAAACACTGTTTCTATTGTATTAATAAATATTATGGAAAAGAATTTAGCTTCCAAATAAATATCATTGTTGACAACAAAAGTAGTTTTTTTTTCTTAATTTAAAGTGTTGTGTGTTTATTCAGGTAAAAACATGATGAAATAACTCGTAACAATTTCAGAAAATCTTTATTTTTAATAATTGCTTCATTTTCATCAACTATGCTGTACAAACTATATATCGCTTAAATTAGAATTAGCAATTAATAATTGCACGTAAAAAAACTTAACAAATAGGTACCTTCAACTTTTCGATTGGAATGAACGATTATTACGTTACGTAATATATATATTTTTTTACATTATTTAGAACCCCTACAAAATGAAATTCTATATTCAACAAGCAGTCACAATCGCCCAATGATATGTTAAAATTATTTTTTTATATTTTTTAATAATGTTATTGCGTTCTAATTATTAATGTACTTATGGTATAGATAGTATCGCGTACAATGGGGCGAAACGTTTGTGTCGCTATAGTACTTGGCGAAATCGCTTTCATCTAAAAATCCAATCTGGATGAATCTACGAGACAAAATTGTCGCGTTCTTGAGCACTGCCCTTGTGGTTTTGACCCTTGAAGTCCTTCAGTCTAATAGGCGAAGATTCGCTGCCGGAGTCACCCTGCAAACACAATTTGATTTCCTTAATACTAATAGTATCATAAGTTACCAAACATAATAATATCCTAAAAACAAAAAGAACCTACCTACAAATTTTCTGTGTCCATTTCAGTGACCTAACTCGTCAAGAAGGGGGGAGAAGGGGCTGTTAGTAATGAGGATTAGCAACTTCATTGCTAGCAATATACACTACCAAGTGACTTTCACACAGATTCCCCTGGAAACCATCGTGGTTGATTTATTATTGAATTCGTTACGTTGGCCCATTGGCCCATAACTGACCTGCTGCATTCTCACCTATCTTCCCTCACTGACGCCCCGCCTGCGTATACTGATAGTGTAGGCAGAGTTACCATTCTATTATTGTCCATTAAAAAGATTACAAAAACAACAACAAAGAATAGCTCAGTCAGTGCTGTGGTATGATCCTGCTGCTTATAGTAATACTCACGTTAGCACCAAGCGAGGTGGTCTCCTGCAGCAATAGCTCGCTGTCCGTCCCGCGCGACTCTTTATTCTTGAGAATGGACCGCGAGCGCGAGTCGCCTTCCAGTGGCCACCCACTTCCTCTTTTGTTGCCATTCTTACCTATTTTCACAAATATAAAATTTTATATTTAAACCAACTTAATAAAATTTCTAAATCATTGTATATGGCGTAATGATAACTTATAATTTTTTATTAATTTCGGAAAATTAAAATGGACCCTATGGTCTTAAAACACATACATTACATATCTAACTTTAAAACTTATCTCTAAATAATAAAAAATGCAATCATTTTACATCAAAATTTAAAAAAATATTTTACGAACCAAATAAGATGTGATGATTGATAATCCTCGTTGCTATGCCCCTCGGTGGCCTCCTCTCTTCCTCCGTCCATTCCTGATCAACAAAAAAATACGAATCCTTCATGAACTCTTTCATTACCTACTTACAAAGTCTGAGACAGAAATGCTTTATGCATTCTTCATCTCTATAAAGGTACACCTACATTTATTGACATGTGAACATGCAGACATAACACTGACAGGACGAGACATATGGAACCACTAAATTCCGAATAAGTGCACTGTTCTGGAATTGTTATTGTTAAAGGGATTACATGCTACGTGAACTTGCCTGTTGAAATCGTGCTTTTCTGTGCTTGGGCTTGGCGTCGTCAGACGGGAGGCCAGGGGCAGGAAGGTCCTCTAACGTCTGAGGTAGACTGGTCCGCGATGCGTCCTGCGGCCTCGACACTACTCCAGCGCCAACGGGCACTACTGCGCCTGCGCCTGCTACCGCAAGGCTAGCTCGCGAACCTAGCGGCGATCCTTCCCCCTGGGAACCTTTTGCACACAACACGCTCCCATCCCCAGAGGCGCTCTTGCGCACACCATTAAACTCTGTCGACACCCCTCCCCCGCTCCCACCGTTGCCGCCTCCACCGCTACCGTCCAGAGGATTCACATACAAGTTTGACGAGTCGTTCTCGCATGCGATGTCGCCCTCTGAAGGAAAAGGGTGCGTAAGGCATGATGCAAATGTATCTGTAATGTAAGACATAAGACGTACATGGAGCCGCGCATGACCGAATCGAAAGTGATGTGATAGGTATGTGCGTACCGTTTCAATTTGTACAAATTAAAGAGATATTCAGGTGCTAAAAACATCAACAAACGGTGAATCAGTATCTACTCTATGGATATGTCAACAACAACAAATACAAGACATTTGCTACGGGGTTGGCTTTTGCTATTAACATACAAATCATTCACGTAATCTATTTATTTATATGACTAAAAAGACAAACAAATGCAAACAACGAGCAAGGTTTGTTTAATAAATAATTCACGATCTTCAATAAAAAATGCTTTTTTTATAGATATAACTAATAGTATTATGATAGGTATCTTAAATATAAATAATGCTATATAAATACATACTTATGTCTACGAATAAATATATGCTACAACAAATAGCTAAAAATTTCTTTAAATATTTTATATATCGGAATATTATTTACATCGTAAGTACCTAAGAACTGCAATTATGCAACAATTTAAATTTCAAGGATTCAATCAATCAAGTTCTGCTGTTGATAAAAATATCTATAATGAATACCATTTTTCTACGACAAAATGTTTCTACATTGTTTACATTTGCTTAAAAGTAGCATATAATTACGTACCGGGGCTGTCAAGACTGTTGGGGGTAGCTTCAGGTAGAGCTTTCGGCGCGGGGTGCCTCTGTAGACAAGCTAGTTCCACGCACACAGGCTGTCGAAGATCTGAGGTAGACATCGGCATTAGCTGCTCGGCGTCTATGAACTCCTTGTAACCCTAAACAAAAAATGCTCATAACGTCATAAAAGAGTAGATATTAAAGAGTTATGCCAAATGGGCATGGTTAAAAATTATATGGGATGGAATGTTTACTAGGCTTATTATGTATTACTATAAAATATAAAAACTAATGTTATTTGCTGTACCTTTTCGACATGGGATTTTTCCTGTAACGACAATGTAACCAAGAAATAAAAGGTTCTAAAGAAATAATAACATGTTACGTCCTATAATCGTAACATAAATAATTGTACAATGAATAGAAAAAATATAATACGAAACTCTAAAAATAGAACTTGGTAATATCTATACATAGTTTTAATCATAAATTATAAGTACTAACTATATAAACAACAATAAAAATACTTACAGAGATATCATCTACATCATATGGAAAAAAAGATAAATATTAAAAATAAAATAATTTCTATTATGCTCTGTTACTATATTATATAGCTATAAATGTTAATAAGAAAAGAATAAGATGTTAATTTGATTAACTTTCATAAATCTTCGCTAGCATTAGTATCTTAGTACCTTAAACGTGCAAAAACAACATTCAAACTCAGAAGGCAGCTGATCCAAGTCAAGCTGTTTGTCAGCCATCTTCTTTTCCTAGAAAAAGAGAAATCATTAGTGGTTACTCTAATTTACGACCATAAATTTTGTTAAAAAGCTATACAAAGTTATAACAGTCTCTATCTAGGTAGGAAGTATATTATTCAGATACCTTTCAAAATTTTCTTTTTTTCTGACTCACAATGGGATGGTACTCGCAATTATAACCGGCATAATGCATTAATCATATATAAAAGTACGCCACAATAAAAAGCTATATGAAACTGTACATTTCTAACTGCAACAATAAATCATTACGACTAAGGAAAATATAATCTAAGGAAAAATAATTAATTTTTCTGCTATACACATTTAAAATTGTTTATTTATATATAGTCGACCGCAGCGATTTAACATAGCGTGTGTAGCGGACGTTACTTGCGAAACTTAAAAAAGAATCATATTCATAATACTGTTGAATAAAAATTAAGATGATAAAATATATTTCCTACAAGTTGTATTGTAAATTGCATACAAAGTGAAATCAAAATCATCGTTCTAAAAGAGTGCACTACCAATTTAACTGACTTTCTTTCATGTTATAATGTTTCAACCTATGTACCTTGGGATTGATAAATTATAGTAAATTTTGCTCCTACGCAGCGGTTTAAAATTGTCATTTGTTTTTCGACTCTTTCTTTCTTTGGATCAAAAATCAGTTGTACTAATAGAACACTACCTTAAAGAGATACTACTAAACGATTTCAATTTCACCTGTACATGGTAATAACAACTTTGTGTTTGATTTTATTTATTATACAGACAATGCACGACAATGTCACGAAGCTGTTATAATTACATATATAATGCACAGAAGATTAACCATAATATATCCATAAAATCTTACTGGTGTAGGATCAGGATTTATGAGCAAGCGTTTCTCAGGCGTGTCTGGGCCCTCGTTTGAATAGCGTCGCTCTTTCTTAGGGCTGTTCTGAAACTGTGAACTACTGTGTTAGAAGCAAGCCAAGTGCACAGTAATAAAATTCTTCCGAGCTTTGGGTGCGTCCAAATTTATGAAAAAATAATTGTTATGTGTAATTGTAACACAAACATTGGTGAAAAAAATAAAAGCATAAAAAAAATGTTTTCAATTAAATTGTATATTTATTTGGCAAGTAAAATGTGCATTTTAATCATACAAATTGAAAAAATTCGAAACATTAGATATAACAAAAATTTGATTTTTATAAAACATACCTGTTTCATAAAAATCTAATTTTTGCGCAACTAGGTACAATAAATATTACTTAAATAAATAGTAA